TGTGTGAGAAGGATATTGAAATATTGATGTGTGAAAAAGATACAGATTAGAAAACGAACAAACTGCAACTAAGTTTCACGATTCAAAAGAAAAAATCCCAGTATCTAGGAAAATATTAGCAAAAGTGGTAAATAATACAGCTCAGGACATTACGATAATTTGTGGAATTGAGCACACTGATTAATTTCCATTGGTGTTCAACGTTTGCAAACCCACTCCGCCGTGGTGCGGGTTTTCCGACAGTCACAGTTGTGTTCAGTGGTCGTTAGTTGTCGGACATTATTAGCATTGAATAAGTTTGCAGTGACTTATTGAAATTATACTTGTTGTCTGAATATTATGTGAGCTCGGAGAATGTGTATCGATACAGAGTTTAACGAAGAGTGACGTAAACTTTTTCAATAAGGCAATTGCATGTATAATCCGTCCATCACTGTCATGATGTGTGGTCAGTATGTTACATTCGTTGAACAGTGTGCCATACGTACGTATTTGTACATAAGGGATTGGTCAGTTACTTCAGCCTAGGGGGGGTCAGCAGATTCCATTTTGCCAGCTGAAAATCTCAGTTGACCCACCCCTATCAAATAAAAAAAGTGGGTGACCCCCCCAACATTATATTTTAAAACATGCTGAACCCCCCCCCCCCGAAAAAAACAAAACAAAAAAAAAACATTAACAGTTTTGGCTCTGACATGATTACAAAATGTATTATATGTGCATGGAAAATATCATGGTTTGCCATAATTTTGACATAATTTTTAGTGCTTGCATTCAAAAGACCTTAGGAGGGGAGGGGAAGTGTCATGAATTTGTTTTTGCGTATCTGTTAACCGACTTAATTAGTTGATTACGAGCGAATTGCTGTGTTATGTCTGTCATCGTTAAGGTCTATTTGAAGTTTTGGACGGAACTTGGCTCAGTGATTTGGAACTAATTACCAGATAACCGCCGCTTTTTAGACTACTCATTCTGACAGTTTACATTCATAGTTATTAATGTAGTGAACGATTAATCAAAAGATTTGACGTATTCAGTACTTGGTGTGATTGGCTTTATGATTGAAGGTTACGCCCTAGAGTATTTTTACTGCTTTGTAATTGGTTAGAGTTTTGAAAATGAATAAAGAGAGTTTGAGTTGGTCTTGAAGAGTACTCCACGAGAGACGCAGTAGAGAGTGGCAGTCTAAGTCTAGAGCAGTCCTGGAGAGACTTGGGGCGAGCCTTGACGCAGTCTTGGGCGAGTCTTGGGTCAGCCTTGCGACAGTCTTGGGGATTTTTCCCCAGGGTGCCGTGTCTTATAGAGTGCTCGACAGACCGACTAAGACGAGAGCTGAAACGTATTTCATTGTGTGTGTCTTATTTGACTGTAAAGTATAAGTGACTTTCCCGATCCCGTACCTCAAGAGGACGAGATAGAGAGGCGGGACGAGTTTCCCCCCCTGACAAGTGTGGAGGACCCAGAGAGAGAAAGATTTTCCCCCTGATAGAAGCATAAAGCCAAAAAATGACTACAGAAAAGGCTGCAGGAAGGAGGGAAATCTATGCTGCTAAAGATAGTAAATAAAAGCAAAGCTGTGGAGTAATCACTCAATAAACGCCCTTATAAGATAAGAAAAGAGGATTTGAATCTAGGCGGTTTGAACTCTGAAAACTAAGTTGGATTTAAAATATCTTTCATATCTTATAGACCAGGAAAGCTTTACACCCGAAGCACAGTCTGTGCTTATGAAAACAAAGGAAACTTTGATTTTTGCTTAAATTTGTGTTGCTTTTTGGTATTTTACAGAACAAAATATGCAAAAAAAAGTTAAAAAAACAAAAAAACTATTTATTTATTTTTTCATCATTTATTTTAATTTATATATCAGCATTTTCCCAAATTTAACTTTTTT